ACACTTTTGGTGTGGGGAAGGTGGCCATAGAAGCACAGAGTATCCTGAGCTGGAAGGGACCCACAAGGATCCCTGAGTCCAAGCCCTGAACCACACCATGTGCCTGAGAGCATTGTGCAAACACCTCTTGAACTTCATTTCTCTCTGCGAGAGGTTATGTTACAAAATAGTCAGTGCCTTTACCTAAGAAACTTCCTAGCTGAGTTGAGTGGTTGAAATTTTTATCATAGCCAAGATTGCTCTCCTGGGACACTGTGTTCTGCAAGCATTTCCTCTTGAACCTCAGGATACTCTTTTTCTCAGGGATTTTATGTGGCTCTGTTTAATTTCATATTGGGGGGTTGAAGCTCAGGGAACGTGGAGATTTTTTCCTCTGGTGCCTGTCTCTGACCTGCACAGAATTTTTGCCTGAGTTGGACAAAATCAGGATCTGAGGGGTACAGGCGGCTTGCTGGGCTGTATATTTTTCAGGCGGGCTTTTTTGTGCTTTCAGAAATGAGTTTTGTGTGAGTTGCCTATCCACGTCCTTCCTCGTTTCTACTTTAAGAACTGAACCAGAGAGAGCAGTTGAGCTTTTAAGAACACTTAAAACCAAACCCTAGAAGAAGCTTCAACAGCAGTTAGACACAGCTGTTTTACATTTTCCTGGTCTTTGTGTTTACAGGACAGGGTATTTGAAGTCTGCTCTAAGATGCAGCAAATGCTCTAGTGGGCACCTTAATGGGGATCTCTTCTGTTCTAATCTAATCTCATTTCTATTATAGATTCAATGTGTGTTACTACTCCAGGGTGTCAGCTGGCATGTTTTGTATAGAATTGAGTTGCTTTTATCCTTGAGACATTCAGAATTTTTAATTGAGTATCTCATACTACCAGAAGCAGCTTTGCATAAATCGGGCTGAAATTATTATTTTGTTGAATAAGGATTTTTTTCCTTATGTGTAGTTAAAGGTTTTCCTGTTTAGCAAATATATGTTACAGGTGATGAGCCTGTTTGTTTGTATACATTTAATAATAGACATATTGGAAAACTATCAAAGATAATATAGACAACATAAGAGTCGGTTTCTGTTTTGGGGGAGGTTTAGTTATGTTTGCTGTCTCCTTGTCAGTTGTGCCTACTCTTCCCTCAAGTGGCAGTGGTTGGGACCAGGAGTGACAGGAAGCTGCAGTGAGGGACTCCAGCTTCTCTGCCACACCTGACATGGTTCTCTGAATGTGCTGGATGAGGAAAAGCACTCCAAGTCTGCAAGTTTCCAACCACAAATATGAAAAAGAGCAATTCTGAAGATTCTGGTTTGAAGCAGTATACTGTCTTTTTGCAATAAACAAACCAGATAAAGAAATGCTTACATACATTCCTTACTTACTATTAAATCTAATGCGTAGGGCTTATATAAGGCCTCCTGAGGTTATTAAAAATCCTTCCACATGTTCCATCCTGTCCTGAAATAATCTGCCTGTTGGAGCTTTGCTTTTGGGTCACATCTGTAGATGAATCAAGAGAGTTGTCCTAAATGTCATTCAGTTTTTATCTCAGATGTTTTAAAAGGAAAAAAAAAACCACTGAAGTGCAAACCTCAGCTGAACCATCACAAAATCCGAGCTTTATCTGCTTGACTTTATGTATTAAATCTTAATTCAGCTCAAGAAATATTAATCATGTATCCTAAAGAATGCCTATTACTGTCTGGATTTTCAATTAAAGCTTCATAAGCTTTGAATGAAAAAGTGCTGGAATTGCCAGTGTGTCAGCTCCGCCCCAGCCTTCCCAGCCACGGGTGATGTGTCTCTCCAAGCCTGGGGAGTTGTGTCCCTGAGGCACTGACACGGAAGGTAAATTGTCTGTAAAGACAGAAAGGAATCAGCCAGGCTGCATAAGGCTCTGATTTATAGGGAGCCAGCAGCTGATAACTCTTTTGAGGTCAGCACAGTTTGCGTGAGAAAAGGAACAATAAAACTCTTGAGTCCCTTTTGGCCCTCCTCCCTCCTGCTGAAGGCAGGCTGCATGTGTAGTGTTGCTACATGTATTAACAAGGTATTTGAAATTATGAGGATGGCCTGTGTTCCCTGTATAACCATTCCTTCATTTCCTTACCCTCTCCAAAGATGTGCCCAGATCTTGTCTGTATTTTGTGAGAAGCAAATCTCCAGTGAAAGTCTGTATTTAGAAGTATCAGGATGGTTGTAGTTGCAGGGCAGTCTCTGTACCTGCTGTCCCCAATGACTACAGGTGGCTCCATTCTTCCCTCTGTGGGCTGCTGAGTCATGCCTCAAAGCCTCTTGGCTTTCACCAGTGCACAATGTGTGACTTCAGGGGAATTCAGGCCATCTCAATGTAGCCCATGTTGGTGGCTTTTTTGGTACCAGAGCTCACAAATCCTCAGCAGCATAGTGTGTTTTTGGAATATTTTTGTATATGCCTCAAGCTGAGCATGTCACAGCAGCCTGTGTGCACTTCCACTGGAATGTTAAGAGCAGAGCAGTTATCAGTGGTGTGTGTCCCTGTTCTTTCTTCTAATGTCACACCACAGAATGGTCTAGTGTGTTGTGATGTAGTGTGGACAGGAAATAAATTCATCCTGATTTGTGGAAGTGGAGAGCTGAACAGAGGAGGATCATACCAAGGTTTATGAGACTGCAGGTTTTACCCCTAATTATTTTGTTGCTTAATTGATGTTTTTTCTGAGTCTCTGTCACCTGTGGAAATAAAAAATTTACTTTGATCATAGGAGTCTGTTAGTGGCTTATATTCCAGTGAGAGTATTTTCTACTTTACAACATCCAGGGCAAAACCTGCTGGTCAGAGGAGTGAGTGTACAATCCCAGAGAGTGTGGGTAGCAGGCTGCCAGTCTGTCCTCAGCAGAGGGTGGTGGAAGCCAAGGACAGTGACTGGCTCCCTGCTGTTCTCTTTCCAGTGTCTGCTGGAGCAGGACAGGTTTGGAGTGCTGTCCTCCCACGCTGCACAGCAGCTCTGGCCCTCACTCTGTTCTTTGGATCAAATAACCTGTGCCTTTACTTCAGTTTCTTGGCTCTTCTTTTCCACTGCCCTTAATTTGCACTGCTGGTTGCTTCCTCCTATGTGTAGACCTCTGTTTTAATGGCCTGAGTGTCATTATTTAAAAAAAATTAGTTCTTCTATTGGAACATGACTTTGAGGATACTGCAGTCTTGAACTGTCAGTGACTACTTGCAGAGCAGAGTTTGCTTTGGGTTTGGCACGTGGTTGGTGTCTGAACATTTTCACAAATGTAATGCTTTACTCATTTTTATTGCATTCTGAATTAAGACTTTGTGGTGATCCTCAAATGGTTAGTGAGGAGCTTAATTGCTTTTAACCCTTTCCCTGAGGAACTCTTCACATTGTTTTACTTTGTTCCTGAGCATCTTACCAAGTTGGATGATCTTTCTCACACTGAGCAATTTAAAGGCATTTATGAAGAAAAGTTCCTTTTCAAGTGTTCTGTAATACTCCTTTGCCCACCTCCAAATATCTTATAAACTTCCATGGGATGAGGGTTAAAAACATCTCCACAAAATAAGAAATGTGTTAGTTTTTAACTGGGATGAGTTCCTGACACAGGTCACAGTGTGGATCCATAAAAAGTTGTGAAACAACCAGGGAGATATCTTGGAATGGGAAACCATAGGTAGGAATCAAGCCCCAAATTCACAAGTGTTGGGAAGGGTTTAAAAAAGGGACAGCTGCTCAGAGTGCTTTAGAAGAACTATTGTGTGTGGAAGGGAGCATGGAGAAGGAGAATGAATGGAATTTTTTGTTATGATGGATTGTAGAGGAAAGTTTGGAAATTGCACAGAAGGGGCTCCCAGCACTGATTGAATGTTCAAGTCATTCTTGTCACAAACAAGAAAGTTACTGAATCTTTGTTAATTATTTTACAGACTTCTGTTACATGGCATAGGAAACTTTGGAGTATCTCTCTGCCCCCATCTCTTTGTCCTTGTTTCAGCTGGAATGGAGTAGTTTTCTTCCTAGCTGGTACAGAGCTGTGTTTTGGATTTAGAATGAGAGTAACATGGATAACACATTGATGTTTTAGTTGTTCCTAAGCAGTGCTTACCCTGAATCAGGGACTTTTCAGAGTCTCATGCTCTGCCAGCGAGGAGGGGAGGCACAAGAGGCTGGGAGGGAGTGTGGCCAGGGCAGCTGACCTGAACTGGCCAAAGGGATATTCCAGACCATGGAACATTGAGCCCAGTACTTGAACTGGGCTGATTGCAGGGAATCAGTATTTTACACTTGCATTTTCTCCAGTGAAACCCACTGTTAAATTTTTAGGATGCCTACAGATTTTTCCTAGCTAAATAAAAGCAAGCAAATCATGTCACCATCTCTGGGTGTTTGTGCTTGGTTGTTTGTTTCAACTTCAGTTGTGTAGCCAAAGTTATGATGGCAGTTTTTGAAAGTGAACTTGTTGAAGAATAACTGAAATTGTAGTAAAATACTAGAATTATTGTAGATTCCAACTTGTTGGTACAAAGCAGAAATTCAGGCTTCACATAGCATTGGAAATGGGAAAGAATTAGTATAAGAGGAATAGTGTTAGATGAAAATGGACAGGCAATAGAGAGCACTTGCACAGGAAGGAGTGGAGAGTGGTATTCAGCTGGGATTGTGTACTTGCATTTGCTCTCTTTTTCTTTGGTCCGTTGCAGTTTGGTTTCAGACTTTAGTGTCTTGTCAGATTAGTAATGACCTTGTGGTGTACTTTGGTGATGTCATGGCAATAAAGTTGGGGAAAGAATGAGGTCCCAGCAAAGCTCATGCAAGGGGTTCCATTCTCTGCACACACCAGCTGGAGCAGCTGAGTGCTGTAATCTCTGCTGAAATGTAGGTCAGGCAGCTGCTGTTCCTGCAGAGGCCCTCTCATCTTTCTTCCAGCTCACCAAGTTTCCAGGTGTCCTGTTCTGTTCTGTCCCATACAGGGGGAGCACTGAAGGAATTGCTCATGTGTTGTGTCCTCCCTTTTGCTTGTAGGGAACAGTCTTCACTTTGGAATCCGAAGAGGAAGAGTACCCTGGGCTCATTGCAGAGGACAGCAATGACATCTACATCCTGACCAGTGACAACTCAGGGCAGGTGAGCCCCCCAGAGTCCCCCACGGTGACCACATCGTGGCAGTCGGAGGGGCTGCCCGTCTCCCTGTCGGCGAGTCAGAGCTGGCACACGGAGAGCCTGCCGGTCTCCCTGGGCCCCGAGTCCTGGCAGCAAGTGGCCATGGATCCTGAGGAAGTCAAAAGCCTGGACAGCAACGGAGGGGCTGAAGAGAGGAGCGAGAACAACTCTTCCAACTCTGACATTGTTCACGTGGAGAAGGAAGAGATACCAGAGGGGATTGAGGAAGCAGTGGTGCCAGCTGGCACTGCAGAGACCATACAGGCAGCGTTTCCAGAAACCTCTGCTTCTTTACAGGAAATAAAACCTCCTGAAATTGCTGCTGCTGAAAAAGCACATCCCTCCGCACTTCTGTGTACAAAGCAGGAGGAAAAGGGAAAAGCAGCTGAAGAGCTTGTTGAACCTGAAATCCCTGTGTTAAGTAAACCTGTCCCAAAGTTAGCCCCATCAGAAGAAAAGGCTGCACCAGAACCTGAGAAAACATTGCTTCCTGGGGGGAAAAAAGCAGAGAAGGAGGGCCATTTGGAAGAAGTAGAAGAGAAATCCTCAGCTGCGGAGGAGAAGCCTATCTTGTTGCCAGAAGGGAAATCCATACTGCTGTACGGTGGGGCTGCCGCAGTCGCTATATTGGCTGTGGCAGTCGGAGTAGCGCTGGCACTTAGGAAAAAGTAACGGAGCTCTCTTGAGGAGGAGGGAGGAGAGAAGAGAGCACATCCAATTTCTGTAGTTGTGTTACCTAAAGGTTGAGCTGCCTGCTGTTTAATTGGACATTTGAGTAACTCAGTGGTGATGAGGTGATGAGGTTGTTCAATAAGCCTCCAGCTACGGACAATCATGTTTTTAGTAGAATCGGGGCGGGGACTGGTTTTTCGTGATTAAAGTATGGGGGTATTTTTAAAAAAAAAAAACAAAAAAAATCTGCAAATTTAAGAACTTAAAGTGCAGGTGCTGAAGAAAGGGGTGCTCATACTCTAGGAACTGGAACAAAGAATCCCCAGGGGAAGTGGAGAGCCAGCTGCTGCCAGCCCCTGGAGATTTTGGCTTCTCTGATTGACCGCTATTGCAGCTGTGCTGTCTTGTCACTTCCCGTTGCGCCCCTGAGCCCCTCCTAACAACATTAGCCAACCTGAGTCCTGTAGCGAGAGGCTGGTGTCCCTTTTGTCTCAGCTTCCTCTCAGGTACAGCACTGCTCCTCATAACCTTCCAGGTTCCTCCTAAGCCCCAGTGGGACAGTGCTTATTCTTACCTCTTGGCTCACACTGGTTTTGGCCCCTAACGTTTACTGGAGCCCCATCCTGTGAAGATGCTGCCTCTCTATAGCTGTAGTATCTCTGAGCATCCTGGTGTTCCTGGGGCAGAGGTGCTGCCCAGGAGGGTAGGAGGGACACTGCTATTTGCTGGTTTGAGAATCCATTTGCTCTGCTCCTGCCCAGCCCACTTTACTGCAAACCCTTCAGTTACCAGAGGTACGAAATTGATGCTGGACACGATGCCATTGGGATCACTACTCTGATATCTGGGGTATATTCAGCAAAAAGACAGCAAAACCGTGTGGAAGCAAGGCCAGTGCCTCAAGTGCAATTCAGATGTTCAACGCTCTGCTGTCCTGTGTCACGCTGCAGTCTGCATTGTCTTTCCCAAGTTAAGCACAGAGTGTATTTAGTCCTAACTTGGTCTTCTTGCCTGTGACAGAATCCTAGATATATAAAGCAATGGATTCTAGAAACTGAGCAAAAGAGCATTAAGCATCTCTTATCTGCTTGTTCCTGACCTGGCCCGGAGTGCTGTTCAGTGCAATTTCTTTTGCAACTGTGAATCTGTAATTACCTAAACTTACAGGTTCACAAATTATAAGCAAATTACTTTGGCAAAAAAGGTAATCCCCCTTCCTGCAGTCACAGCACTTGAGGTGTGTGTGGAGAGAAACCTTTCAATTATTGCCCTAGTCCTTAGTAGGGTCCAACTGCAAGTGTTCCTCTTCCAGCACGTTTGTGTGCCTGTCCATGTCCAACTGTAGCTGTGTGGGCAACACCTTGTGCTTCCCAGGCACAACTGTGGATGCATCTCTGAGGGTTGGTGCTGGCACTGTGGCTTAGACCAGATGGAGGAAGGTGAAAGGGAACTTGTGATAATCTAAAAAATGAAACATGATCTTATGGGGGAGCTTTCACAAAGCACAAAGACAAGGTACTTTTATTTCTAAATAACCATATCAAGAGTACATCTCCTGATGAGCCTGTTTCTTAAGGGATCTCAGAATGAAGAGATCTTAGCATATTCTCTATTTTAGGATATCCTTGCTGCATTTTCCTATCCCAGGATGCTGGAAAGTTAGTCAGAATGTGTCAGATTCTGAGGAATTATTTTTGTGTAAGCTTTTGTGAAATGGATTTTCTAGAAAACTTTGAACTATGTGTGTGTGAAGTTGACTATTAAGAGGAAGGGTTGTGTATATACTGCCACTATGGATTGAACTTGGGAACTCTGGAGTTCTGGACTGTACTGTTGATCATTGATTGCTCTTATTTCATGTGCAACATATAGCAGGTTGGCCTTATCAGAAAAAAAATATTGCAAAATGGAATTGACTTCTATCACATTGCAAAACAGAATTGACTTTTTTTTGCCATTGTCTGGTGCTCTGCTGGTACTCATTGCTGTGCTGTGTCTCCAGAAGGGGTGGCTGGGACCTCCTCATGCCATGGGCTCAGGGAATGGTACAGAGGTGAAGGGCAGCTTTATTGCTTGGTCAGTCAGGGCAGGGCTGCCCCTCTCTGGCTGCTTTGCTGTTGGCTTTGGGTTCTTCTCTGAACACTGCTATGGGAGAGAATTATTCTTAACCTGCATCCCCTCTTTCCTGAGGACAATTAACCTGCTTTTGGTCCAGCCTCACCTCTAGCCACACAGCAGGTTACCCTGGAGCAGAGATGGATTCTGTGGACACTCTGCATAACTTGTGTACCAGTGTTGGGAGGGTGGAGGCAGGGCTGGTGTTACTTCATCTTCTCTGTGGATGGGGTTGTTTCAGTAGTAGTGTGGAGAGGTAGAGGGCAAACAAGAAAAATATCCAGGCTGGCAAGGAAAGGAGTTCAAAACTTATTGCCTCAAGGAGCCCAGTGGGGCATGAAATAAAAATCTTCCATGCACAGCAGGGAGAAGGTGGCAGCAGTAGTAAGGAAAATAAATTACTTTGTTAGGTAATGGTCAGGCAGAAGCCTAGAGTATCTAGTGTGTTGCTACATTTCATGGAGCATCAGTTGCACCGTATGTTTTGGTTGCTTGGTCCTTTCTTTATAATGTTCTTTTCCTTCTGAGGTCTTTTAGCTTTGGCAAGTCAGCGAGAATTTGAATTGACCATGTGTTCAGAAAATTTATTGTATGAGTCTCTTTCCTCTGGGAACACTCCACTAGTTAAAAAGGTCAGCTGTGGGGTTGAATTCTGCAGAGTTTGGAGTCCTGTGGTCAGAGCTGGGGCAGGCCTTGTGGAAGGGGTGGGAAAACTCAGATGGCAGTGTTCCTACAGACCTGGGTGAGAGGCTGCTCTGTTAAGAGGTGTGAATTAGAAAATGGAAGTTTTTCTTCCCCCGTCTTCAAGTATAGTACAGTAACCTTAAACTGCAGGGTCCAGTTACCCTGCAAGGTGTGATGCAGACTCTCTCTAGTGGATCTCTCCTAGCTGGCAGAGGGAAGGCAGGAGCTATATACTTGCAAAAGGGCATATAGAATTACTTTCACTTGTGTTGCTCATCCCTTTCCCAGAAGTGCCTCAATATCTGTCCTCTAGTGGCCTGTACTTTAACAAAATATCTACCTTAGACCCATTCTGTCTTCACTTTATGCTTAGCATACCCTAAAGCTCAGATGCTGAAACAGCAGAGGGCTGGATCTGTGAAAAAAGTGAGAAGTACTTAAGGAACTGCAGTGGGCAGCATGCTCAATAAGGGGCTGTCAAGGGAAAGGCTCTCAAGATAAGGTGCAATTTAAATTGAGCTGTGATTAATTCTAAGCTGTGTTTAGTTGGGCATTGTGGCACTGCAGGAACAAGAGGCTGAGAGCAAAGACAGAATTCCTCCGTTGCCCAAAAGCTCAAAGTGCAGATACAGAGCCATGTCCCAGCCAGTTGCAGTCTTGTGTGCAGGGTGGAGCCTGGTGATGTCTGGAACTGTGATGTGGGGCAAATCAGCACTACAGGAATCCATCCTTGCTGTTTGTGAGGGCTTCATTTTTCACTCTGACTGTGCTCAGGCAGCTGCAGCTCAAGTGCCAGGTGGAAGCTGCAGTGCTGAGTGCTCTTACACAGGACAAGTTTTGCTGCCAGAATCCCATTTCCTTCCTTCCCCATAGTACTGATCACAGCTAGGCTAAAACTTTGGACTGGATTTTTAAACTAATCAATGCTTTCTAATGGCCACAAATGAAAAGTTTAATTAGTACTAAACAAGCAAGCTGCTGAAGTTTGGTCTTCTTTCATTTTAATGATTGTAGTAGATAAAGTAATCTGAGATTATAAATCTTCCCTATATTTAATGTCAGTTACAGGATTATGGCAGTACTGGCAAAGCCCTAGTAAAGTAGATGTTGCTATTCTGGGAAAAAACTAGAAGTGTTTCTAGCTCTGCAGTGACTCATTCACTAAGCCGGAGCAAGTTCCTGTTACAGAGTTTCAGAGTGTAATTGCCAGAATCTTTTGCTGCGAAATGGGGGGGTGGGGTGGAGAGGTGCACATGGCAGGCCCAGGTGTGATGCCTACAGGAATCAGGAAGCTCAGGGCTTCAGGAGAATGTCATATTCTGGGCTCTGTTTGTGTCTGCTCATGTTGGAGCACAATGGGAGAAAGTGTTCCCAGTGAAAAGTTCCTGGTTAGTATCTTTATTGATGATCTGGATGAGGGGATGGAGTTTAGCATTACCAGATTTGCAGATGACACCAAGTTGGGTGCAGGTGTTTCTCAGCTGGAGGGTAGGAGGGCTCTGGGGGGACCTGGATGGGCTGGATCCATAAGCTGGGTTCAGTGATGGGAGGTTCAACAAAACCAAGTGCCAGGTCCTACTCTTTGGGCACAACCCCTTGCAGTGCTATGGGCTGGGGACAGAGTGGCTGGACAGTGGCCAGGCAGGAAGAGACCTGGGGGTATGACTGAGCCAGCAGTGTGCCCTGGTGGCCAAAAAGGCCAATGGCTCCTGGCCTGGATCAGGAATGGTGTGGCCAGCAGGACCAGGGCAGTGATTCTTCCCCTGTACTTGGCACTGCTGAGGCTGCACCTCGAGTGCTGTGCCCAGTCCTGGGCCCCTCAGTTTGGGAGGGATGTTGAGGTGCTGGAGGGAGTCCAGAGAAGGGCAGCAAGGCTGGTGAGGGGTCTGGAACACAAATTCCAGACAGGGAGCAGCTGAAGGAGCTGGGGGTGTTCAGCCTGGAGAGGAGGAGGCTCAGGGGACACCTCACTTGACAAATACCTGAAATGAGGGAGTAGCCAGGTGGGGGTCAGGCTCTTCTCCAAGGCAACAGCAACAGGACAGGATGACACAGCCTTAAGCTGTGCCAGGGGAGGTTTAGTCTGGGCATTGGGAATTTCTTCACAAAAAGGGTGACCAGACATTGGAATGGTGTGCCCAGGGAGCTGGTGGAGTCACTGTCCCTGGAGGTTATTAAAAAGGCTGGATGTGGCACTCAGTGCCATGGTCTGGTTGGCAAGGTGGTTTTTGGTCATACACTGGACTCAATCTCAAAGTCTTTTCCAAACCTAGGTGATTCTGTGTAACATGGAGGTGTGAGGCACAATATCTGCTCTACCTAATCAGGGCAAAAGCTGTGGCTTGGACTGCTTAATTTCAGAATGAGGAAGGTTGCAAGAACAGGATTGCTTTGACTTATGTATGTACCTATGCTTTAGAGTGCAAGCTTGGTATTACCATTAAAAAAAAAAAAAAAAGAAGGGGGGATGTTTATAAAATTTAACCTAACACTACTTGACTCAGGTAGAGCAAGCTCTCAGGCCCAGAGGGAGCAGAGGCCGCAGGGCCAGGTCTAGGCAACAGAATTCAGTTTGTGTCTGACACAGTAAAGGTACCTGAGCAGGACTTGGCTGGGGAATGACATCAGCTTGGAAGGGTCAGTAGTGTTAAGTGCAGAGGAACCATAACACATCACTCAACTCCATCTCCTTAAGTTAAGAAACTTTATCACTTTTTTTCTACTTTGAGCTGACCTGCTCTCAGTCTCTTGGGTAGGCTGACTTGCTTACTCCAAGCTAGAGGTCTGTGGTCATGCTGCAGAAGTGGGGGAACTCCTGTTGGCTTCCAGTGGAAGCTGCTTTTGATCTCCCTGCAGTATCTGCAGGGCAGGCACGGGACACTATCGATGTGGACACAACAAACTGCAGAGGATGCATCTTACTGCTGTACCTTTAGGGGCTTTGTCCTCAGTTTTAACTTGCAGGATAAGCTTTTATTCAATTGTAAACTTAAAAACCCACTCAGACCAAAAGAATGACGCTTGATTTGTTAAGTAGCAAAGACTAATGGGACTGACTCTGAAGCTGCAGTTTAGGGGATCTCTTCTGCTAGGCTTCTGCTGGGTGTAAGCAGGGATTTTGGATTCTGTTCTCAAGAGGCCTGCCTAGGGGAAGAGACCCTGACTGGTCCTCAGGTCACCCATTATCCCAGGAACTGATCATACTGTTCCTTCCAATGTGCAAGTGCAGCCCTTTTGGGGAAAACTGTCTAAAGCTTCTTGTGCCATTTGGTTAATAAAAGTGTTTCCACCTTGACAAAGTTCTTTCCAGCTTCATTGTTCAATATTCAGTTCAAGTGAAGGGGTATGTACATTCTTTCCCTCTGCTAATGGGACACTGCTGTAAGACCATGGCCCCAGGTTGCACTTTAATAAATGGTACAGTTTTCAAAAACAACACGTAGTTGTTCTACTTCTGTGCTTCCACTCTTCCCCCATTTTAATGCAGGCACCAGAAGAAAAGGTGGTTTTACTTACAGAAAAATTGCTTATGGAAGGCACAGGCACAGGACCGGTGTCTCTACTGGTGACAGCTGCATCATAAGCCATGGTGAATTAGAATAATGCCATGAGTACTTGCACAAAAAAAATTCAGGTGGAGACTGAAAGTCTGCAGAGCTGTAGTAGCCATCAGAGATGAAATCTTTATTTAACTTAAAAAAACCTATTTACATACTTGGAAAAGTCCTGAGGCAGCTGAATCACAGGTGACATATTTGCCACCTTGTCTGATTATATATAAAACAACCTGAGTCCAAGTTTGTTCAGTCTGAGATGTGACTACAAAATATGCTACTTTTTCTTAGGTTGCATTATCAAAAAACTTGCCCTGTGCTTACCCTGCCCTTTTCTTTACAGTTCTTTTGTCAGTTTTGTTTTTCAAGCAAACACAGGTGTATAATGATTGATACTTAAGTACCCTGGTGTCAGCCTTCTCTGGCCACATCTCCCTCTATGCCTCAGGGCTGTTCCTTCTTGTTGCCAGCTTCTCATCAAGATAGACCCACTCCCCACTGATAAACCACCCATTCCATAGCCTGAAGCCTTCCTGGGAACAACATTCAGCACGGCTCAGCTGCAGGAGCAGGGCTGGGAAGCGAATAACTGAAGCAAAATGCTATGGCTGCTTAGAAAAAACAAAGAGGACAGGCCCTGTGGAGGTACAAGGCAGGCTCTGCTACTGCTAAAATAAGAAATATTGTGAAAAGAGAGAGGCACACACTGGCAGAGCTGGCAGGCAGCTCACACTACTATTACTGCTATGCTAGTCTACAAAAGCCTATCTATGAAGCTCTGCCACCCCTTTCACAGCAGTATTTCAGAACTTAAGACTAAATCAAGTGGTCTTCATCCATCAAGGAAAATCTTCAGGAATTCACATGCTTCACACAGGCCTGGAGAGCTCACTCACCCAGCTGGAGGGAGAGAAACAGAAGGGGCATTATTAACAGCAGCAGGATTCTTCTGCACCAAGCCCTGCCCTGTGCCTGCCCAGGAGCCCGGCAGCAGCTCCATGGATGGTGCATCAGCAGTGCCACCTGCCGTGCTCCTTCCCGTGCCCGCAGCAGGACACGGGGACAGCGGGGACAGCAGGGACAGCCCGGTGCCCAGCTCCAGCCCTCTGCCTGCCCTTGCTGCTGCCAGCACGGGCCGGTCTCACACAAGTGATTCATTTCCGGCATAACTCGGCACCCTGGAGCCAAACCGAGTGAAGGGAAGGGCAGAGTGAGGGGCTCGGCATGGGGACACTGTGCCCAGGTGCTGGGTGAGGCAGCGACAGCAAGGCTGCAGCACAGGATGTCCCACAGGCCTGCAGCATGGCACAAGTGTCACCTCTGCCTCACAGCCCTGCCCGCTCACACCTCATTCCTCTGAGCCTTAACAGCAGCGTGTGCATGCTCTGCCCTCCCCAGACTCCTTAGCTGCTGGAGCTGGGGCCTCGAGCCTGGCCTGCCTGCGAGCTGCACAGCCTCCCCACCTCTGCTCGAGTGCCAACAGAGAACAAGACAGGATTGGACTGTTTCTCATTGCTCCTCTACTAGTGTTAATTCTCAAGAGCAATTCCTTTCCCCTTCCAGTTCTCCCAAGCTCTAGGGAGCTGAGGAAGACAAGAGCAGGGAGCTCAGGGTTAAGACACTGGGGAAGTGCAGCCAGTAAAGCTCAGGTCAGGCTTTCCTTTCCTGAGGGAATGAAAGAATCATTAACCAGAATGTTACTGGTGGAGCTCCCTGAGGAGACTGCATGGAGGAGAGGAGCAGTCACAGCTCTCTCTGCCCAACAGAACAAATGCACTCTGTTCACTGGCTACTCTGAGGAGGGCAGGGGGCAAACACATGTGACACGACCCCCTCAAGCACACTCATCTCCAGAGCTCTGCAGGGACTGGCATTGCCTTCTGGGCCAGCCTCCAGGGACTGACACTGCCTTCTGGCCCAAGCTCCAGAGCACTACAGGGAAACCAGCAGGCCACAGGAGGTTCAGAGCTGGGCCACCCCTGAGGGAATAAGCCAGGACAGCTAAGAGGTTGGCTGTGACTCCACAGAGCTGTGCGAGCACTCACCATTTCAAGAATGTAGTTGTGGAACTGTTGGTTCATGTAGTTCAGAGTGGTGGTAATGACACGGTGTAGAAGGGAGGGCACTGAATTCACAATTCTCCTAGTCAAGACCATTGTTAGCACCAACATGGCCTTCTCCTGCTCCATGTCTGCAGGGATGGCTCGTGTAAGCTCTCTCACTGCCCTGTTCATGTGCTGGATTATCTCCTGTATGGGAGGAAGAGAGGGATCTCAGTGGTAGAAAGGTGTCTCAGAACAGCTTGCCAGCACTGTGCTAATAACTAATGTGCTTGTTGCAACACTCCACAGGATGCTGCTCCCCTTCCTCCCAGCCATGGCAGCCTGCCTGTTACATAAAAAAAACCCCCCAAACAACCTATGGCCCTTGATCCAGATGTAGAGCTAATCCTTGGATAGCCTTCCTTTTCCTTTTTAACACAAGAAACCTCAAACTACTTCCCTTGCACAGCAGCAAGGCAGGTTAGATGCTGGGCCACCTGCATCTAGGAAGAGGCCACCCCAACAGGTCACACAGCCAGGCCTAAACCCACTGCTACTCCCAACCCTGCCCCTATGAACACACAGCATCAGAAAAGGGTCTCGTGACTTGCTGTCTCTTCAGTGCTCAGTAACAAGCACAAATTCAGCTCCTGTCACTAACCTGCTTAATTTTTACCCATCTGATGGTCAGCAGATATACAGGACTTGGCACCAAAGTACAAAGATCTTAAGTACTAAAACTCAGCCTTAGCCAGACTATTCATTTTCCAATATAAGCCATGGGGCCATCAAGAGAACAAAGTGCCTCAAAGTCAGTCCTTTTCCACAACTACCATTTCATCATCTGCAGAAAGGAATGAGCCCAAGGAACCTGATTTACAGATTTAACTTCTGCCACAGAATCACCTCTAACAAATCTTCAAATGTTTGGGATTAATTTTCAGAGGCCTTCAAAGTCACAGCAGGAAGGATGCAGAATATTTAAAAGGAAAACTGCTTATCGAGCTGCTTTTCACTCACCTCATAAGATAGATTCTCATTCAGAAAGTGCTGTGCTAGGCCATTTACTACTCTTTCCTGGATTTCTCTATCAAACTGGTCTCCAATCTCAGCAAGCTGAGCAGCAATGATCCGGATAACCTCTTCATTTGTTTGAGGCAACCCTGCCAACACAAAGAGCAGAATTTAGTTCACAGGCCATAGTCAGATGCGGTTCAGTACAGGTCACAGCATTTTGCTAATCTCCATTAGCAACCTCCTTCCCACCCCTGAGGGTATTCATGACAGGTCTAAGATCAATTTCTTTAAGTGCACCCAAGTTGCTTACCAGAAATACTGGCAAACAGGGTTTGTATCTGTAGTTTAGGTAAAGTGCAGCCTTACCTGCCCAAAAAAATCACTGCAGGGCTTGTTAGAATATCTCCAACCAAAATTTGAACAGGACAGTTATAGCCAACATCCTACCCAGAGCGGGGAATCTGTGCATGACCTCGAAGGTCTTTTTCAGCCTAATGATTCTAGACTTTAAGTGACTTGTCTCTTAAGCACCACCTAAAATACAGCACCTCACAGAATAGCTGGAGTTGGAAGGGACCTTGAAAGGCCATCTCATTCAAGCCCCCTGCAATAAGCAAGGACATCTTCAACTAGATTAGACTGCTCAAAGCCCCAGCCACACCGACCTTGAATGTTTCCAGGGGTGAGGCATCCATCACCTCTTTGGGCAACTTGTGCCAGTGTTTTACCACCATCACTGTAAAAAACTTCCTTACATCTAGTCAGAATTTGTCCTTTTTCAGCTGAGAACCTTACACCTTGTCCTACTTGCTTTTGGAATGACACCTATGCAAATTTGTGTGAGAGAGGGCCATTTACTGTAGCAGTTCCTCCTCACCCTGCTTCAGTTGAGGTCAACATGCCAGCTGACACCCTGGGCAAGGGGCAGTAGACACCCTGCAGATGGCTAGCAGAGCAGGAACAGGACCAGAAGTTATATGAGGAACAGCTTTCACCAGACTGGTAGAAAGGGAGTAGAAAGAGATTCACTCAGGACCAGAACTCGAGTTGTTCCAAGATCCTAGCCCAAGTACTTGGGATATCTGAGGAGCAGCATGAGGCCTAACTTAACTGCTTAGTATGACACTCCTTGAGGGCAGCTATCACCAGTACCAGCTTTGTGCCTTTGTCTGATGTGCTGCAGACAAAACCCAGTGACAGCTGCTGTAGAAATCCATGGAGAAAGTACTAAGCACCAGCTGTCTTAACCTAAGTGTTAAATTCCCAGCCAACACCAACAGCCACACAGTGAAGCTTCTCAATAGAGAAAACATTACTCCTCTGAAACAGACAATAAATACAAAGATAGGAAATGGGGAAAGAAAACCACCATGTTCAGAGACATGTAGGATGGAGAAAAGCTTGCTCAGCCATCTCACCATTCCGAAAGTGGCCACTCCGATTGCCATCGGTCTGAAGCTCGTCATCATCATTTCCTTGGCACAACATGATCTGCTGGCTTTGCAGGGAATGCAGCTGGTCTTTGAAGTTACAGTCAGAGGATACCTCCAGGAAGGTGAACAGCAATGCATGCTCCATCTGAAGAGGTCCATTGATCTGAAAACATAAGGAAATCACTGTTAAGCCCATGCCTAGAAAATGTCCCACTCAGAGCATCTAGGCATGTACTGTATTCCAACCCTAAACACATCTCTGTGGCCTCCTGTGGGTACCCTGAACAGCATCAGCCAGGGGGTCCACAAGGCCTCAGCAAATGCAGACTGGCTCCTGGATGTGGACCCAGACAGGACTGTCCCATGGTGAATGACAGAAGGCTCTGCTCTTACAAATTGGTGTTGAAAACCCAGCTCACCTTCTCTTCACCTTCCCAGCTGTGGCAATGGCAGCAACCCCAGTTTGAGTTCCTCTTTTGAAAAAGGTGTGAGTTCAGCAAAAACCACCCATTTCCTTTACTCAGACACCTGTGTTTGGAAGGGTTTTACCCCTGTATTTGGGAACTGGGCATTTAAATTGCTGTGCATAAGGAAGGCAGGAGCTCCCCACTTCCATGTAATCAGAGCACAGCAGTCACAAGGTGGGAAATAGAGCTAAGAGCATAAGCCTGCAAAACCCCTCAAGGTTCACATTTCTTCTCCCTCTTCAAAGGAACCTCAACTAGCTCCATAATAAACCTATCCAGCTCCTTGTAGAGCCAAGAAGCTGCTCACAAGAAAACTGACATGAGATGGCAGATCAGTGCCACCTCTAATGGCACATTCACCCCCAGTAAATGGGCACGTGCTGTCCCCATGGCCACACAACTTGCAGCCTTCAAGCAAGGCAGGCCACATTAGTTAGGTCAAGGAAGTCCATGAGACAAGGCAGACTGATGAGAGCAAGAGGCCCTACTGGAACACCAGGCCTCATAACCAACTAAGGCCTCCAGAAAACCAGGAGACTCTCCAAAAATTTTAGCAAAATAGATAAGAGAGTAGGATATGGTATAAGCACAGAAATAAAGTGAGAAAGAAAATCTTTACTCTGGTATACAGATGGTCTGCCTGTAAGAAAATACTTAGGCCTAATTTTATCTAGGGAGAAGAAAAATAAGAAGAATGGTTTGTTACGCTGACAATATGCAACCAGGATGAACTTGGTAACTGAAAGGGAGTTTTGGGGACTGGAACCTTGCAAAGCCTCAACATAACCATATTTGACTGGGTAGACAAAAGGAGGGACAAAGTCAACAAAAGGCAAGGTTCAGAAATGGAAGCAAATGGAAAAGAAAGGATATGATCAGTCAGAGATGAACAGAAGGCACACCTTCCATGATCTGAGCATGCATGTTTACAGACAGGTCACCTGGTACCCAAACTCACTGGGCACCAGGGGCAATCCCCTTCCACAGCCTGCTCGACTGGTCATTGGGTTTATCACTGATACATTTTTAAATCACGTATCAGTGTTCAAAAGGCTGGTAGGAGGGTAGAGTAGGGGGTTAGAATTGTATCCCACATGAGCTAGGCTGGGGGAGGATGACAGACATTTCAGTTATAGTTAAGTGTGCAAGATTTGTGTTAAGTAGCAGCATCATAATTGTGTTTAACATTGCACAAAACAATGCAATCACTGATCACAGGGCTGTGCCCACTCCATTATTAGTTTTAGCAGTTTGTAGCTTTATCAATAAACATTGTAGTCTCTTATGTAGCTACATCTCCAGCTTGCAGTCCCAAGGGAAAGTGCCACACTGAGAGCTGCAAGGAAGCAACTTGCAACTTAACTGATTCCATCCACTTCCCTGTATTCAGAGCAGTGCCAGGAATACTGCAGAAATTCTGGGAAATTCAAGGACACAAGCCAACACTGAGACTTATTCCCTTCAAATTATCTCAGGACAAATGCACCAGAAAACCACTGTACACTGTGAACAGCTGACTTCAGACATGTTTGACTCTAACCTGTTCCATAATGGATTCAGGGACAGAGCAGCTGGTGTCACCCTCTGCTTCAGACCAGAAATCCTCGTCCTGTGAAAGAGTAAAAAAGAAAAGTGAAAGGAAAAAAAATCCCCATACATCCACATCTTACAGCTGTACTTATGTATCTGGCCATGTCTCATAGTAAAAGTGCCTTTTAGTGATGCATGTCCCTATTTCTGAAGAGTTCCCCATCACACACCATCAGTCATGAAAAGGGGCTGAGGAAATTGCAACTGTCTCAGTGACAGGGGCCCTGTGAATAAAAGGCACAAATCTGCTTCCTGCCGTGTGTCAGACAGTGGAGTGACACAACCTACAAATAGGGCTTTAAAGCCAAAAGCTGCTGTTGAGTAAGGGAGGGACAACCCTCCATGGAGCCAGAGGCTGGAATGAAGAGCAGGGTGATCAGAGAGGAACTCCTGAGAGCAGGTGAGCTGACAGATCTGCATGCACAGGAGAATATTCTGAAATTAAAAACCCAACTGACATTGCTACACATCCACAGGGCCTTGAGGGTGCCTCTCCCCACCCTCCATGCAAGACATCCATGAGGATACTCAGGCTCATTTCAATACTTCCCAACAAATATCACGATGAGGAAGGTTGGATCAAGTGCCAACAGAGGCTTCCAGTCACATGAGTGCAGCTCTGCTAAGCCTCAAGGGAGGCTTGCTAGGAAGAAGGGAGAAAGCAGGACAGAGCCCAAGGGAAGAGGCACCCAGCGAGGGAGAGCACAGGAGAGCCTCTCCCTCACAAAGGGGAGATGTAGGAGCATAGTGCTCCCTCCTCATCCTGCCAGGAGCAGCTGATGGGTGGCTCAGAACCTTGCATTTGTGCCTTAGACACAATGGTCCCACAGCTGCACACACAAGTCTCTGGTTCAACTCTTGATGAGCAGGGCCTGGCTGAAAGTGGTCACCCCCTCCCTACCAAGCCTTCTTCACCCAGGGCAACAACCTGGTTGTTATGCAGGCACCTTCTAAACCAAGACTGGGCTGGAAGCACTAAGGAACCCAAGCAAAAGGTCTGCTAACCATCAAAGACCTGGGCTAGTGATAAATGACTATGCCACAGTAACAATCCCTCACATCTGTGTTTTAAATAACTAAGTGCACTGGTAGAATAGAAGGAAGTGAAAGCAGAAAGAAATTCAAACTCTGAAGCAAACCACAGTTATATTTTAAGAGATCACAAATCTCTCAACTTTCAAAGGCTCTTAGAAGTCCAAGACCAAAACACAATCTGCAAAATGTCTGAAACACATAACAGGAAGCCTCCTAACCATGAGCTCTTCTTTTCATGGAATTATGTCAGACCAACAGCTACAACACAGGCTTATCCTTGCTGCTTTGCATTTTCCTCTGTTCCATTCAAATCCCTATTGCTGCTACTCACCTCTATCCTAAGGAGTGCTCTGGCTGGAGAGTCCTCTGTCCTCTTCTCTGGGACCTGAAGGGGCTCTGAAACAGGTTAGGGTGACCTTTCCTCTGAGCTTGACTTTGCTGGAAGAGACAGATGTTAATTCAGGTTTGAGAACTTGAAACAGAACACTGAGATTAAGAGGAAAGTGGGGGTTTAGAATTAAGTCTGTGGCAGGACTTTGGTTTTGTGCAAATTCCTCAGGAGCTGTCACCATAAGCAGTATTTCCCTAGGTTAGGTAAAGCCTCAGTTTGTACATATTCTAGTTTTAGAAATAACATTTCTTTTCAGTGCAATTTTCCCACTCTCTGCTTTAAATGAAGAGGCAGACTGCTCCAGCCCAGCCAGGTGCCTGCTGCACCTGCAGATGTCAGTAGCTGTGCAGGGAGAAGAGACCTACAACATATGTGGGTTCTTCCCTTCCCTCAGGGATCAAATCAGCTCTGTGCAGATACAGACACTCCTCAGACCAAATTCACAAAAATAGAGACATTAAAAAAGTCACCCACCATAGCTGCAAATAGCAATTTTGTCTACTGCACATGAGATAAAAACTCATAAACAGAACCATTAAAAGTTCCACCATGCTCCAAAGTACTAATACAGCAAAAAATGAAGACAAGGGAACCTGAACACAACTTCCAAACAGAATTTCCTAAACCTAAGATTGACCACCCATGCAGTGAATGACCCTGAAGGCAATACCTGCCCTCAGCTAAGAAAGTTCTGCTTGGGTGGCCAAAAACACACCAGAGAAGAGGAAAAAGGATTTCTCTCCACCCCAAAATGGCTTCCTACTTCTACAATACAGGGCAAATTACTTTTTATTTTAGTTAACTAGTAATTACAGGAACCTCAAGTTTTACATAACTACTTTGAATCAATGCAAAGGGCTTCAATAGTCATGAAGTTCCTGCTGAGAAGTCAAATTCCTTAAAGGAAACTTAAAAAAAAAAAACCCAAAAAAGTCAGATGCAATCATGCTGATACCACCCAAATGTTTTAATCATTAAGACTTTGGAATCCTGGTAGTTTTAGATTCAGATTGAGACTGTTTCTGGTGGAGGGAAAGATTAACTTATATTGGGTAAAAAGAATCTTTAGTTGGAGGAGGAGAAAAGATGAATAAAGGGTACAGACATCATCTGCACTCAGATTCAGAGTCAAACTAGATAATTTGCTAAGGCTGCTTTAGGACTGCTCAAATCTTGGAATAAATTTTTAATATGATATTATAATTGAAAGATCAACTAATTTTAATACATTGTTCATTTTTTACTTCAATTCACTCATTAGACAAATGAACTTTGTGAGAAGCTCACATTTCTTTGTGAGAAATGAGCTGCTTATAAGAAATCACTAAATCTCTTGACACGTTCAACACATAAGATTACAACCTGTTTTTTAGACCTGTTCTTTCTCTTTTTCTTAGAAAAAAAATTAAGGGGGTACTTTAACCACAAGTTAAAAACCCTTACATCAGTTCTACAGAATCAGGGTAGGACATGTTCATTCCAACTCAACATTGCATGGGATGCAGGACTGTGGGAGAGGCATATGGTAAGGAACCATAATTACAGCTGAAGAAGCACATCCACCAGCAGCCTTGTCAGTGCAGTAGGAAATACCTCATTCCACCCACACACGGCAGTTTTCACAAGTGAATTCTGTGATTTTTCACAAGTGAACTCTGTGGGTGCTTCCTCCAAGGCAATCACAGCTCTTTAGATGGGGCTGAGTACACCCTGAGGGATGGGACTTACTGCTCTCCAATAACACAGCTCCTTCAGGTCTGGTCTCCCACCTTCTGTTTCTCCCTCTCATTGCCCAGTTACACTATCCTTTAAATCTCACATGGAACTCACCAGAGGAGCTTTTCCCATCTGCAGTCCACCAAGGAAGGGTGGCATCACTAGAGGCAAGAGCAGGCAGGGCCAGAACCCCCTGGCTCCAGGGGAAGGAGAGATGGCACTGAAAGTTTGTAGGGTGGAAAAGAGGGAGAAGCAGGGACTGCAAGACAACTGGCACTCCACGCTTCTCTCCCACATCATGCAGTGAGGGGCAATCCACAGGAACATCCTCATACACTGTATAACACCATGGTTACCTGCTGGGCAAACTCCCCACAGCTCTCAGGGCTGCCATAACAGCAGCAGGTCCCAGAATCCCTGAAGCAGTGCTAAGTCACCCTGCAAATCAGTTTTCACCTCCACACTTGCGCTACATCTTCAAGATAGCTGAGAAAAGAAGCCACCCCACAAACAGTGGCTCTGCTTACCATCACTTCCCCTCAGATTCTTCACCTCTCCTCACAGCTCAGCCTGGGAGTTACTATTCCCAGCAGATACTGTCTGGTTACTGTTCTCAGCAGGGAAGCCACAGGCCTGTGAAGACTGACTCCTTTAACAGCGTCTCTGGATTATGGGACAATGGACCTGCTGTCAAGATGTTTATGTCTCATGTTTGAGTTAGGAGCAATTAAAATCTCCAAAGCAGAAACCACAATAAAGCATCAGTCACTGCAAAGTCAAAAACTTCCAATCTGAAGTATGGAAGTTTTCCCTGTGTGGCAGCTGAAAGGTAAGAACTTTGGGTGTGGCAGACAGGATGACATAATTACTGGAAGAAGTAAAACAGTAACTTATTTCTCCCTTTCAGGATCTGGTAGCACTTACCTGTCCTGTAGGCAGATATTTCTGCTGAGCTACAGAGCTAGGACATCATTTTACAGGCAGAGAAACCAAGTATTTGGTATGTCCTGGCATTTTAAATCCATATATCAAACCATAACCACTCAGTTTTACTGTCCTCATGAGAACTTTCCATAGGCACAACTATTTTACATATCCAGTTACTACAGTAAAATAAAGAAAGAGAAACAGCATCACCAACTTAAGAAGTTCCTTACTTGGGGATACTCTGAGCTGGGCCACTGTTGTCTGCAGCACTTCAGGTCAGGAGAGTGTAAGCAAATACCACATCACAGAGCCCAAAGTCACCAAAAGCAATGCTCCTAGCCCATAAATGTGACAGGAACTAATCAGCCCAGGGAAGGTATTTTGTTGGTGTGCCAAACCAACAGTGCTGAGTACATAGAATGTTACCATTACCTGTCCCATCACTCCTTACTCTGCAAAGGATTTGCCAGCCTGCACCAGTGCTTAGAACACCCCAAGATTTTGCCTCATTTGAGACTCACCCCAAAAGCAGAATTTGCTTCCAGGCTTTGGAAGGAAAAGCAGTGTGATGGGAGAATAGAGACATTGTGTCTCTATTCACCTGGCAATGTGTAAGCCAGGTGAAGGATGGGCTCAACAAGAGCCTGTGGGCATGTATGGATGCACACACGCTGCTGAAAACTGTGAAACTGAAGGATGGTTTGGTACACCTGGTTAACACCAAAGCTGTTGGCTTGGTAGTGCCAGCACTTTCACTGCCACAGGGAACACTGCTTCCAAACCAAGGGTATTTCCCCCCCATTTGCCTCTGAGGCAGGAGGCAACATCAAGAGCCCGTTTTGGAAGTGGCAAAACTGACAAGCCGTGAGGAGCATACTTGAAGATACCAGCAGCTCAGTCCCCCAGTCACTTGTAGTTTATTTGCTTGGCTCTTGGGAGGACTGCCCTGTTAGTCAGGAATCATGAGACTACTTAAAATCCAACCAGGGCAACCTCTGCCTGATACTCCTAAGCAGGACAGCCAATTGCTTGAGGTTTTCAGTTTTTATTTCTCTTCCTTTCAGCTTCAAATTGCTTCCTTCTTTAGGATGTAAATAATGCCACTACCAATCTCTCCAGCAAGGGAAAACAAAACCTAGCACCAACACAAAGCCATTACTCTTCATACACTTGATGCAAAACATTCCTAATACTACTGCCTTAGCTGGGGTATTTTTACTTTTGCTTCTTTATGCTGCTTTAGTACAGAATTATCATCTCAGCCTGGACAACAAGCACTCTCAGCTGTGTATTGTGACTAAGAAATACATTTCACTCCTTGTTTAAAGGGAGTTTATCTTCCTCTTCGGAAGAAAAACTTCATTAGAGACAATTATAAAAACAAGCTGTCAGTAAGGCCTTTTTGATAGAAATTTATTTAAGTTCCTGAAGGTCTTTTGCCCTTTCACAATGACACGAATTGCAGCAATCTTCAGGTTATCAGGGCAGTACTTTGACTTCTTAGGAAGAAAAACATCCAAATCCCTCACCAACCACCCTTCTCATTTGGCTCAAAAACCTCTGGTGACCAGCCCCAACGCAGCACATGAATGAGTAAGAAGGAGCACTGCCATATTAAAAATGCTCATTAAAAAAAAACAGGTAGGCAGGAGCTTTCAATCAGTGTGGTTTCTGTATTGGATCAGTGACAGAGGCAGCATGACAACATCTTATTCTTCCAACCTACAGACCCAGCTGAGCTTACACTGAGTCAGCTGGAATTTGAATTCAGCTACTACAGCTGGACCCAAACAGAATTTCCACATCTCCAGTTTTGGGCATAGTTACGCCCAGGAGGTAAGGGCGGGACTTGGATCTTGGCTATCAGAGTGCAGGAAGTTTCTTGGATCTGGCACTGGGCTGAGATTTTCCCCTCTGGTGTTGAGCAAAGGAACACCAGCCCTTTGGATGTAAGCTCATCCTGCACATCACCTCCTCAGTAAGGTCAGGAAAAGACTTCTATCTTTCCTTAGGACCTGGCTGGAAGGAGCAGAGCAAACCCTGATAAAAAAGCACCATCACCACTATCACACAAGATTGCTGGTCTTTTGCAGGTCCTGTTCAAAATCTAACATTTCAGCCCAGCAGCTGCAACAGACCCCTGCTATAATGGCACAGTGCACGTCCAAGCAGTTCTTATGTTTCTCTCTTAGAAATGATGGAAAAGCACCAAGGAATCACAGTTCCAGTATTTGGACATTATCAAGGAAGGACTAACAGACTGAGAGCAGGCAGTACTGAGACAAACTCCAGCCACCACTGGTGATGTGCAAGTGACAGTGTCCAACCAGAGAAATGCAAGACTTGTTTGTGGATTTAGAGCATGGCCCAGCCGGGCCACGGGCACTGCACCCTTGCACCCTGGCAAAGCTGCCTTTACATGGGAGCAGTGACAAAGTGCTCAGCTCCTGCAGCAGACACGGTCTCAGCACTTGGCAACAGTGCTCTGAGAGCT